GTGCTACGTTCCCCTTTAACGTCTAAAATCAAACACAGACTTTTTACTCCGGATTTTCATTTTTTTTATATCTAAGTGATTTTAACAGAATATATTAAAATATCTGCCAACGATTTGTTTAATTGTTTAATTACCATCCCAACCGATAGTGAAAGTCTTGAACTCGCTGATCGTTTCTTGAAATTCTTCAACAATAAAATTCCAGTCATACGAGACAGCTTGCACAGTGCCGATGTAAATAATAGCATTTGTCCGCAAAACCAAGTCACACTACCTACGTTTAGTCGTTTCGAACCTGTAAGAGAAGAACATGTTTCTGAAATCGTCAAATCGTCCACTACAAAATCCTGCTCGCTTGATCCGCTGCCTACTTGGCTACTTAAAGCATGCCAGACTGAACTCAAGCCCTTGTCTACGATATCACCCATGGTGGAAGTGGACGTAAAACTCCAGGGAAGAAGAAAGAACTCAACCCTATTATTCACCACCTAGTAAACTCAGCTATAAACGAATCAACATTTCCGTTAATTTTTAAGGCTGCGAAACGTTACTGCAAAGTCTACCCTAAACCCGAATGATCTAAAGTCATTTAGACCTGTATCTAATCTAAGTTCTGTTTCGCAAATAATAGACAAATGTATAGCTGAGCAAATAACTGCACATCTGTTAAGAGTTATTTCAGTGCGCATGCAAGAGGTACCATAGTACAGAAACTGCTTTACTCCAGTACATAATGACACCATGTTATCCTTATAATGTTGGACTTGTCAGCAGCGCTTGACACTGTCGATCACAGGATTCTCTTGAAACGCCTGTCTTCACGCTTTGGCATTGTAGATACTGCTTGGCTCTTACTTAACATTGCGCAAGCAGTGTGTCCCAGTTTGTGCTCGCTCGTCCAATGTAACTAGTCTTGAGTATGGAGTTTCGCAAGGGTGAGGTTTGGGACCCATACTGTTTAGTTTGTACACTCAACCATCCCCTTTGGGCAATCTAGTAAGGAAGCATGGTGTGGAATTCCATATCTACGCTGACGACACACAATTAAACTTATTGTTAAATCGTCAACTGGTGGAGTCGTTACCAAGTCCCAGGTCGCATTATGTATTGGTGAATTTCAAACATGGATGTTCACTAACTTTGTGGAACTGAACGCTGATAAAACCGAGTATTTGCTTTTTGGATCCGATAATCTGCTATCAAAACTTAAAGATTCGTTTAATAAGGAAATTAGAATAGCTGAATATAATGTATATCCTTCTCTTTCTGCTCGAAATAGTGTAGTAATTGATTTTAACATGTCCATGGAACAACAAGTCAGTAATATTTGGAAATCATATTATTTCCATATCAGAAACATTAGTCGTATATGTAAAAATATATCCGAGGAAGCTACGAAGATCTTATTTCTTTCAGATTGATAGATCAACTTCAAAAGGTGCTGCCAGACTTATAAGTAGAACAAGTTTTAATGATGACATTACTCCGGTTTTATATCATTTACACTGGCTCCCTATTGGCTTTTGAATCCGTTTTAAAATCTTTTAACTTCTAACCACATGGTACCTTCTTATATGAGTAAACTATTAGACCTGTTCGAATTGTGAGCTATCGTTTGCCTTCCAGAATCCTTACTTGTGGAACAGCTTAGGTCCGAGTGTTCGTAATTCACATTCCGTGTCTATATTTAAAACACGTCTCAAATAATTTTTACAATTCATCAAATTGAACGGGCATTTAGGTGCTTAGAACTGTATGATCTCAGCTGGGATTTAATAACATATGATATTGACTTGTCAACTCTGTATAAACTTTTGTTAAGGTAGGGTGACCCATGTACTCACAGAAATACAGTCCACCGCTGATAGTTCGAGACTACCACTGAAGCGTGCACATTCGCCGTGCCGAGACCAACTTTCTGACAGTATGATACTATAAATAGCCATGGTACGTGCAATTCTCTACAAATCTATCAACTATTACAGACGTAAAAAATTTATTGTTGACGATTTTGAATAGCAGTAAAATTAAGCTTCTTGGTTATTACAGCAGATTTAGAAATTACGTTCTTTTCATTTTTTAAATCGCTTTATCATTAACTGTACCGTTAAGAGCGGCATCTTTTGGTTTAGTACAAATAATATCTCTGAATCACTCGGGTTAGACAGGAATTTCTTGTTCTAGCTTTCTGTTATGTTTCGTAAAAAAGTAGTCTTGATTATCCCGACCTGTCAATCAGACGTAGAATGGTCGATAGACTGGTTAAGCGAGACTAATTTCAAAACAAGGGCACGTAACCTATCTTTTACTCAAAAGTGTCTGGATGTTATGGCCGACTCTTGGAACCAGTTTTCAGTCTATTATTTATACGTGATTAATGGTCATAGCTTATTAAGTACAACATGATCGTTTATTTGGTGACTATAATTGTGTGAAACTGATTTGAGGCTTGGCATATATATAAATATTGTGGCGTAATTGTCGAGATATATGGAGATATTTATTTATGGTGGGTCACCCTAGTTAAGGCACGGATTTAATTAAACATATAATTAATCCCATATTTCATTTACAAACTACATATGATCTGTGCACACGTTCCGCTTTACTTCAAAGGAATATGCACTGGTCAGTAAGCATCCCGTGACGAGATAAAAGAGACAATTGCATATGTCTTATCTATCGTCCGAGGGTACATAATGACAGCTAGGCAGTCGACTAGAGACGGGCACAGATGGGCGGGGAAGAGAGGCTTGGACGAGTGCATGGACTCACACGACCCGCGTGCAGCCGCTGCTTTGGCAAAGGGGCAGAATGGTGGATTTAATATTGTTAGATGTGTTCCTGTCGTAGTCTAGTCCTTGACGTAGTCTAGTTCCAGTATAGTCTAGTTTCTGTAGTATTGATGTAGTTGTGTTATATGCCTGATGTAAGTAAATCCTACATTTACTAAACTGATCTCTGTTATCACTAAAATAGTGTTACAATAGTTGAGATATTTATCTTATATTCTTTATCTTTCTTTTGTTTTATTAATTTATCTCACTTGTATTTTAATAATTTTATTTATTTTACACACTTGTTTATTTGGGTGACGTTTTATGAGTTTTAAATGTACGTGCCTTTCCTATTGTATGCAGTTAAGTGTTGGCACCCCCGATAAGAGCCCATAGCTATTACCGTCCCAGATATCAGCCGAGCTGAACTATATACAGAAAACATCGGTTGCAGTCGACACTGCGGAAACTGGGGGCTACTGACAGCAAATGTTTGGTTGTTCAATTCAACGCGCGTACATCAACAGAAAACAAGTGTGTCAGTAGGTCAAGTTATCAGCGTTTAAAAAATACCAATTTTGTCCATGTGTGATAGGTGTTTTGTGAACAAAAAACGACCTCATAATAGAAAGTCTCATAATAACAAATTTCCATAATTTTTCTTTAAGCCAATTCGCTTGAAGCTGTTTTACCAGACTGTTGTTTCCTTTATTATATGTAGAACAATTAAGCTAAAATTCTGAAATTTAGCAGAAATATTGGAAAGCCCATGAATGTAGCACTTTTACGAAAACAATTTTTCTTTGTTTTTATCTAAGTGTATACATATTGAATCAACACCACTAGCGGTGAATGCTGATCACGTGACATCAATGTGGTGTATTGGTCGTACAAAATCAACCATTGTAGAGAAACCGGGTACCATTAAGTGTCGGAAAGTAGAGCACGATCGCAACTGGCAGTAGTTTTCCAGTCGCAAGAGCGCGTACATCAACACAACCCGGCAACTGACCGGATCCTCTCAGTTACGGCCAGTTGCTTTCATATGACGGCAGCTAGTTGTCTCCAGTTTCAAGTGTCGATGTACTCAGGGCCTTAAATGTTAAACGCTTGTGTAAATGTTGCCTTAGTCCCAAAAGTGGACATACTTTTAAATTATTTATGATATCGTGTTGATTAAAATTATTTAACTATTTACATAAGAAGCAAGCAAATACAATATTTTTTATTCGACTGCTTTAATTATAGTCATGGTTATCAATATATTGAATGACCTTCATCTGGTATATAGACTACAGGTGAAGGTCATTCAGTATATAGATATCCAGTGTAAAGATGTAAAAATAGCCATGATAAATTAAAGATAAATATCGCATTTTCTTGCCATGGACATAATATTGAATAGCCTTCACCTACAACTTATATACGAAAGTTGACGATTTGTTTAGATGACCTATATTCAGCGTCCAGTATACGTGACGTATAGTTAGCAGTTAGGTTATGTGACACGTATTCAACAGTTATTTTCCGTGACCTATAGTCAGTAGTTTGTATACGTGACCTGCAGTTAGCTTACGTGACATATAGTTAGCACCTAGTTTACGTGACCTATAGTTAGCACCTAGTTCATGTTACCTGCAGTTAGTAGTTTGTATACGTGACCTATAGTTAGCAGTTCGCGTACGTGACCTATAGTTAGCAGCTAGTTAATTTTACCTATAGTAGTTTGTATACGTGACTTATAGTTAGCAGCTAGTTTATGCAACTCGTATTCAACAGTTAGTTTCTGTGATTTATAGTTAGCAGTTCGCGTACGTGACCTACAGTTAGCAGCTAGTTTTCGTGGCCTATAGTTAGTATCCAATTTCCGTAACCTATAGTTACCACCTAGTTTCCATGACCAATAGTTAGCAGCTAGTTAATGTTACCTATAGTCAGCAACCAATCTACGTGACCTATAGTTAGTACCTAGTTTACGTGACCAATAGTTAGCATTTACTTTACGTGGCCTATAGTTAGCACTTAGTTTCCGTGACGCATAGCAGCTAGATTCCGCTACCTATCGTTAGCAGCTAGACTCCGTGACTTAAGCTAGAAGCTATCCATGACGTATAGTCGGCGACAGGTATTTCGCGAGTATTGTATTCTTACGCCTTTAATGGTAGAAATGGCGAGGATTTTTTTTTCTGGGAAGAAATTAATACATATATTATATTTTTTTAGATGATGATGGAGATGGCTTCCTTGACGAAGATTGTTCTGTACCTGAAGGTAAACCCACTAACATTTTATATCACTTCTTGCTTAAGGAGTTATGAAAATATAAATATTAACTGAACTGAACTAGAGAAATCGAAGTTGAAGTATTTATCGTGTTGATCTAAGGTTCGTTTCAGGGCGCCTTCTAGCCAATATTACTAGTATTCGATTATTCTGTAATATTGTGTTAATATTTACATAGTTTATTGTTAATTATTTATTCTTACAACACGAAATAAAAAAAATTAGGAAACGAAATATTAAAAACCAAAGGCAGCAATTCTAACTGCATCGTCTTGAAAACTTGTCTTACTTATTGTTTATACCCTAAGGATGACTGCTATTATTTTTGGTGCATGCTCGACCTCTAGGGGGAAAGCCACGTGTCTGTGTGTGGCCTAAGGGTTGCAATTCTTAACAGGTAGTCTTGAAACTATGCATACTTATTCCTTCTACCCTATTGTTTTGGTATATGTCTAACCAAAAAGGACAGAACCATCCCATTTTTTGTATATTTATTCCTTATAGCCTAAGGACGGAAACTATGGATTTTGTTGCATGTCCCCCCTCCCAGGGGTGGTGCCACGCCCATTATTTGTTAAGAAATTGTTCAAATTCGGCATAGTCATTTCAACAAACCGACAGAGACACGCCCAGTTTTTGTGTTTATCGTCTACAAGCTGTAATTCTGAATGAATCATCTTGGAACTTGGCATATTGATTCATTTTACCCAAAGGAAAGCAGTCTTTTATTTGGGTGCATGCCCCGCTCCTAAGGGCGGTGTACGCCCACTTGTTTGTTATTATTATGTCTGTAAATACTCTAGCTAGATGCTGCAATTATTAACATATTTTGTTCATGTTCAGCATGATCAATTAGTTCAATAACAGGGTTATACTTATTTATATTAGTCCATTTCCAGCCATCAAGGGGGATCACGTGGCTAAGTGGGTAAGGCGCTGGCTCGCTAGCCTGGAGGTCGGGTGTTCGATCCCTGCATTGGCCGAGAAAGTTCATCTCGATTTTCCGGCGTGGTTTCCCCTTGTCAGTGATGCAGAACGGAGGGCCTGACAAGGACAGCTGCCTAGTCGTTCGGATGGGACGAAAAACCGAGGTCCCGTGTACACATTGGCGTGCACGTAAAAGATCCCTTGGCAGTTGGAATTCGATATAAGAGTAGGCCGTAGCGCCGCTGCCCGGGCAAAATTTCCCTCATAGCACACTGTATGGCGTATGCCCGTCTTCAATTAGCCCAGGTTAGGTGCAGAAGAGTAGGACGTTAAACCCCATTTCATTTCATTTTCATTTCCAGCCATCAAGGACAGAGCCACGCCCAATTATTGTGTTTATGGTCTATGTACTGCAATTCCGACTGGACCATCTTGGAAATTTGCATATTTAACCAATATACCATAAGGACGGCAACTGTTTGGTTCAACAACGCCCAATAGTTGTGTTTACCGCCGTGAGAATGCATAATCCTGGAACTTGACATATTTATTCCTGATACTCAAGGAACAGGAACATTGATTTTGGTGCATGCCCGACCCCTACGAACGGTGTCACACCAAATTATTTGTTACAATTTAGTCCGTAAATTTGGCCAGAAAAAAAATCCAACGCCTAGCTTTCTTTGTCTCATATTACAATCGTTGCAGCCATTTCATATTTCATTATCGTTTTAAAATTATCATATCATGCAGCGTTAGCGTTGCTCTTGTTTATTTAATTTGATATCGCAAATGTGATTTGTTTTGCTGGATTGCCATCTTGATCATTACACATATATTTGATAGTTTTATAATTGTTAATCATTAATAGTGTAATAATTTCATAATAATAAATTCAATACACACGATCTAAGGGTTGTATTCTCCTGAAACAAAATCAGTATTTAGGTCTAAACAGAACCTATATTTTATCTTTATATTAATCCCTATATCTGCCAGGAGTTAGTAAGAATTGCTGCCTTTAGTTTTTAATACTTCGTTTTTTTTGCTTTCTTATATCGTGATTCGGTGCCGGTGGTTGCCAATAAAGTTTCTCGGAATTTTCCATCGTGATCTTTCCATGTCAAGCGGTACGGAACAGAGGGTCTTACAATGACAATGTTTAATTGTTGTTCGGGTGGGGGCGAAAAAATGTGGCCCCGTGTACACATTGGTTTGCGCGTAAAATGGCACTTGAAAGTTTATATTTGATATAAGAGTAAACGACATGAACTGATCTTGCATCCCGATATGATGAAATAAGTCCACCCCTAGCCATACTTAACTAATCATTCAACACAAACTGATGAAATATTTCCATAATTAACTGTTTGTTCAACAGGACGCGTGCAGGTCAACTTTGCTCGATCAATATTTGATTCCGTATGCACATATTGTATTTTTTTTCAATTATACAAAATTCCTGTATTGTCAGGTTTTACTAGCGGTAAGAAGATCTGTTGTGGTGACACCAATGAACCCGCTTCCTGTCAAGGTAAGCTTCATTGTATTTGATATATTGGGCGTCCTCGCTATAGATAAGGGGGCATAACTTTTAGGTAACACCATAGAGGAGGCGATCGCACGTGACCTCATTGTTTACCTTACAGCATTGTTTTCCTAATTATTCATTACGAACTGGTATGTTGACAAACATTGGTTTTTTTTTGCTAATATGGAATTTAATCCCGCTACTTCGAAATACTGTTCTATTAAAATCGATAAGGTGACATGGGACCGAGTTTTTACTAGCGACGCCTGGTGGGAATTCCTTCCGCGAGGACACCCATTCAACGATGTAAACATAGAATTACTTGGTACGAGGAAATGTCAGTAATTCTGCCATAAAGTGTATAAAAGAGTGTTAAGGTCATTTCGTTGTTAAAGATTTCAGGATTTTGATTTGGTATCATAGTCCGTTCGTCGCTACTTTTTTTTTCGAGCGCATCAGGAGAATTGTTCAATTTATGCATCAATTATTTATTTTTCCGTTTCCGATTATCTTTCTTGAACTGACGATTTTTCGTTAAACCTTTTGCCATAACTTCGTCTGGCGTGGTATGTTTGCATGACACAGAAAGTCGAGAAATACAAACGGATAATAATGTGCATTTTCTTTGTTATCCACAGCCTCCAGACGAACATCGCATACAACATCACAACATGGGCGGAAGTTCTCCCTAGGATCAGAAGATTACACCACTAATTCACGTGCTGGTTGTCTAGTAAAATGTGCGTCAGATGTTGACTGCTGGGGAGTAAACTATAAAGTGACACCTAGTGGTACTACGGCCGATAACTGTCAGATGATGAAAGGTGTATCCAATGGTTTAATACAAGACAATAATTGGAACTATTATCCAATCAAAATGAACGAAGAATTTTACTGAACAAATATTAAACCTTGCATTTTGAATTTGTTAACTTAGTATAAATTGAAAGATTTGAGTTAATCAATTTGATAAAAAAAAAAAACGATATTTTAACGAGCGCGAACCCTTTGTACGAGCTGCCGTTGGATATCTGCTTGTAAATTCATCACGACCAACCTAAGGTGCCACATCTTAATCAAATTGAAGACTTCAAGGATTTAACAGTGGGTCAAACGAGAAATTAACTGTGTTTTCTACCTAATAATAATAATAACCAGATAAAAACTTTCATATTTAGGTTCGCGTCATGGTTTATATAAAGAATCTCAAAACGAAAACATAATTATTAAAATCGGTAAAAAATGCATTACAGATTAAATCGGCCAAAAATCTGCTTAAGTCATGATAATCCGGTATCATTTACCACCAGAAAGAAGTTACTGATTATGTCCATAATATTAAACAAAAAAGAATTATTAACTTCGTTCTAATTGTAATTATTTCAACCGGAAAATATTTACCATTTTAAAAGTTGCACAGAACCTTTGGTATACCAACCAATTTTGTTAACATTCAAATCAAGCACCTGTTGACCAACTTAATCGTTACCGACCAATATTTGACCTGATTTCAAAGTTCTATACTTTTTAAAGAAATTAAATTTAAAGATGTCACTTATTAAAAACAGAAGGCCATAAACTGACTGAATTATAATGAGAAATGTTTAAACCAAACGTCACTTCCCATCAGATGTTTTGTCCAAGATCTTAAATGGTAATATTAAAACGGGCAAAATTTACCGTTTTAACATTTTAAGAGTAACCCAGGTTACCAACGTAGGTTACCAACAGATTTTGATAAAAAAAAAATAAAATAAGCACCAAATAGCCTACTTCATCAACTAACAACATTTGACTCGATTTCAGAGTTGTCCACTTTTTATGGCGTTACTTTGTTTTAATAAAACTTTTAAATTGGGCATCAAATGACCTAGTTAATCGTTTGCCATCAACATTTGACCTGATCGGAAAGTTTTTTGAAAATTAAGAAAAAAATACTGTAAACAACTTTGTCGGCACGAAAATCTTTAAAGGGGGAATTTGAAATATTGAAAATCTCAAATATTAGAAAATCGGCCCTGAAACAGGCTACCCAGAAATGTAATAATTTTAGAAATAGGAGACGAATTTGCCAAAGGATGGCCTGTTGTATTTGTTTTCAAACCCGTTAGTGTGGGTTTTTCACTATTTTTAATATTCAATTCATAATAATGACCATCAGTTGACCGAATCACAATTCTGTTCAGAACGTTTATTAGGCGTTCATTCCAATACAATGTAACTCAAATGTCTGTAGTTAAAATAACGTAAAATTCTAAGGGATTTTTCACTTTTCAAGATGATGACTACTCATCAGTAGTGTCTTAGTACAGAAAACAAATTTCAAGGCAATCTGACTTCGATTTTTTGGAAAACTTTGATCTTTAATTTCTCCAAGAGGAGGATGCGTTAGAAAATTTCCAATAACATTGTCGGATTAGTCAGATCTACTTACATTCCAAATTTCATGAATATTGTGCTAAAATTAAAGTCTCATATTATTAGATGTGCATAAATTATTCTATAAACTTCAATATTGGATTTTTATCTATTTTTGTTTATATCAGTTTTATGTAAAAAACCTACATTGTTTATTATGTGAGGCGTGGTTCCATCTTGGTTCCATGTGATGCGGAACAGAGGGCCTGACAAGGACAGCTGTCTAGTCATTCGGATGAGACGAACAACCGAGGTCCCGTGTACACATTTGCGTGCACGTGGCAGATGCCTTGACAGTTAGAATTCGATATAAGAGTAGGCCGTAGTGCAACTGTCCGGGCAAAATTTCGATCATAATACACTGTATGGCGTATGTCCGTCTTCATTAGCCCAGTTTGAAGCAAAACAGTAGGACGTTAAACCCCATTTCATTTTATTTCATTTATTATATTAACTCTTAAATGGTAGTAATACTATATACATTGCATACTACTTTGATCTAATTGGATTTAAAATATTGCTGATAAATACGCTAAGGGTTAATTAACTTATCAACAATTTCAACAAAATTGATGAATCGATGGTAGTTGGCTGCTTAACATTGGTATATCAGATTACTAGGGTATTAAAGAGACGCCAGAAGAAACATTTATTTTTATGTTATTCTAGTATCGTTTGAAGTATAATTAATGGCAATCTCAAATACTATATAAAAACAATACTAACGGAATATTAATATTATCTCTCTTTTTTTTTAAAAAAAAAAGAAGAATTCTCTATACATATTGAATGTAAATGTTTTATTCTTTGTATACTCATGGTTTTTTTTGTTAAATTGTCTCAAATGTTATTTTGAACGTTTACTTACCGAACCCCCGATCTATATATATACTTGAAGGGGGATTGGATGGCTAAATGGTTAGCACGTGCGCGCTGTATCATACGGTCTGTCATTGAGTCAACACTGGCGTGGTTTCGATTCCCCGGCTGTACATGACAAGGAGTAGGGTCGCCTGTCCAACCTCATGGGTTTACTCCGGGTCCTGCGGTTTCCTCCCACTGCTTACACACCTCATTGGTTTACGTCATAGATTGACCGCAATCCTAAATTTGACTCCTATTTCTAGTCAAAAATTACAATGGTGATAACTTTGTTCAGAATAAAGTAATTTGACTGAAATTTTCAATATATTCTTCTTTTATCATCTATTTTTGAACTAGTATAGCAAGAAAGGCCAACTCTCTATTAAAATCTCCCATAATGTATCTTTAAGCAACAGACGTGGAAATTTTTTTTGATTTGATCTCCCTGGAATTTTAACGGTGGTGATACAACACTATACAAATTACACACATAACTAAAAACAGTGAACGCAAGATTTAATGTTATTACTATAATAAATAAATCTATTTTATATGTCCTGGGTGTTATAGTCGGGCTAGAGCTGATATGTATCATAAAAGCCCCCCCCCCCCCACACACACACACAAACACACACCAGTATCCTGATTTTAATAATCTCATAAAAATGGGATTATTTTCGATATTTTCCGAGAGTACCGTGATACCTGTTTTGTGCATCAAGTCTCACACCAACAGACCAAGAACGTTCATTTCACTGGACACGACCTAACAGAAATTCGAAGGTATACACCTGACAAATTGCGCTACTTTTAGAAAGCGGATGCTTCTGTTCTGGTATCCCCGTATGGGATAACGATTTCGAAATTTTTCAATAACAGAGATAACAATAATTCAAAATCAGGATGGTTATTCGTGTATCGCTGACGAATGATGTGTTTCCAATTGGTATGTTACAATAGATAGGTATGTTATAAGTTTATATACCAGGGACTATAAATGATATTTTACAATGGACAGGTCTGTTAGAAGTTTATATACGAGGGCTATAAATGGTATGTTATAATATATATATAGGTCTATTAGTGTGGCACTATCCTAGTCACGAACCTCCAGAAAACGGCCAGTGATACAATGGTGACACTTCTCTTATTCGGACTTTCACGTTGTGTATAAAACTTTAAGGTTCAATTAACTCTGGAACCCTGTGCTGTTAAAACTATGCTTATATATCTTTATAGCATCCATAATACAACGGCTATATACAGGAACCTACACACATGGCTATGACATTAAATATAAGCTATATATAAGCCATCATATTTACGCTCTTCTTTCTAAGTCTACATGATCATCTGCCTCGTTCTCTAAGATAAGGATAATAAAGGTATTTTCTCCTAGGAACATTGCATGTTGTCTCTAGCCTAGCCTTTAACCCAGTGAATCTCAACCAGTGTGCCTCGAGATCTTCCTAAGTGTGCCTCGAAATTTTGAACGGAAAGCTAAGAAAATTTCTCACTAAAGAAGCCAGCTATTTGACTGATGAAATTCGAAACACCGCAACAAAGTAAGTTCATAGCTATGTTTTTCTTTATTTAGTTGGGTCATTCTATGTGTCTATGACTAGTCTGTGTTCACGGTTAAATGCCGTCAATGACTTGCCATGTTTTCATATATATTTAGTCAGGTGTGTCGCTATTTGTGCATGTATTCGAAGGTGTGCCGTTTTCAAAAATAGGTTGAGAACCACTGCTCTAACCCGAAGAGGCTCTGGGGATGCCTTCTTGTAAGAACTCTGCATGATGTCGACTATATGTCTCTCTAGAAACGCCAATGACGTCTAAAGGGACATTTAACCCCGCTCTTTCTTATATAAAAAGTATCATTGTTTGGGTGTTTCGTATGGGCACCGTTTTACGTTAACGTTATTCTATTTAATTGGACCAATACGTGCAACCGATGCCTGGACCATAAAAACCCACTTCCAGAAATGGATACCAGCATTATTGTCAACGAGGTACCTCATTATCCTAGTTTTCGTCACACATCATACACTCAACGAATTTTTATATTAAACAGCGCATCATTTAGAGAACTTAAATAAGCTCTACAGTATATATAGTATTATATTAGAAGTATGTTATAATATAATGTTATAATATAGATCTATTAGAAGTTTATAAACCAGAGACTATAAATGGTAGCTTAAAATGGATAGGGCTTCTACACATGGTTAAAAATCAGGTATTGTATATATATATATATATATATATATATATATATATTTGTATATCACCCCTAGATTCCTCATTATATTGGTTTTTTTACACGGGGTTAAGTTTGAAATGTCATGATTTATACCAAGCAAACTTTAATTTATCTGGTCTGAAACTTCTAGCTCATAATATTGACTCGTTTAAAAATAGTGATTAATATTATTATATATTTCCAACTAATAATATTGAGTCGCTTGGAAATAGGGACGGCAATTACTTGACACATTTACTCACACAAGACATTTGTCCATTTTGTGACCTCATATCAAACACAGATGAAAACTGTGAAGGCTCATATCAAGCGCTAATATAAAAATAGCAATAAAATAAAACGTTCTCTGTATAAAGTTGGGGGTTGGATGGCCGAATGGTTAACACGTGCGCGCTGTATCGTAAGGTCTGTCATTGAGTCAACTGGCGTGGTTTCGATTCTTCGGTTGTACGTGACAAGGAGTGGGGTCTGCTGTTCAACCTCTTGGGTTTTCTCCGGGTCCTCCGGTTTCCTTCCACTGCTAACGACCCCTACGCGCAAGCGAATTATCGAAATCTGTATAAAGTTAAAGGGACTATTCCGATTAGAACAGAGTCTCAAAAATTAAAATCCGAGTACATATGAAATTTAAGCACCAAAATATATAGGAATGGTGTATTGACCTTGTTTCAAAATTTCAGCTCAAAATATTGAGTCGTTTGGACGTGAACGTCAAAACTGCTTTTTGGGACACGTAACCCTTTTAAGATTTCAGGTCAATTTTTTCATTGGGTGACCTGATAATCGATTCCCGTTTCTTGAGAGGTCTTTACAGTGAATGACCCATGTGCTGTACTTGATAACGGACGGTAAATTTCACATACACATTATTTTTTTATCAAAAAAAGGTCTGGTTTTATCCAGACACTGTATAATACAGTTTTGGACATCGGTCTCTATTTCCAGATGAAGACTGACGTGTTTAATTTGTTTGCAAACATATCACAAACATTGAGTTACTTGCTCGCGGAGTAGGTACAGGGTTTTAAGGCATTTTAACACAAAATTGAGCAATTTTATTCTCTAAAAAATTATCGGGATTTGGCTCTTTAATATAAAAACTCTTAATCATAATAAGTTAACTAATTCATACTGGAAATACAAAATAACAAAATAATAACCCTGTTCTCTAGCTATATACAGTCAATATAATAAACCATTATCTGTCTACATACAATTAATATAATAAACATGTATACATTTGATATAACAAACCTTTCTCTGTCTATATACAGTTAATATAATAAACCACCACCTGTCTATATACAGTTAATATAATAAACCATTATCTGTCTATATACAGTTAATACGATAAACGGTTTTCTGTTTATATACAGTTAATAACCACTCATTATCACAGAAGTTAATTATTTTATGTTGACATGTGTTTGGAAGCCATTGTTATCTTTTTCGGGGGAGGTACCTGTATCATAAGGCGGTGGTGGAGAGGAATATCCAGTTGGAGGAGATGCCGGGTTATTAGTTCCTTGTGGAGGATACGCAACTCTTGGATGAACAGTATCTGTAAAATACAATTCCCACGATGAGATAATTAGACATACAGCCACTCATAGATATGAAGGGGTCAGTGTCGTACACTTTCACAATCTTGTGTATAACCGAATCACACGTGGGATGATATTGACTGTGATGCTGTATTTACTAATTTTTGCCAATTATTATGGCATCGAATGATTTTAATATATACTCTTCAAAAAGGTAGGGGATATTGAAATGCAAATACTTATGCAGGTTGTGATATGATAAATAGTCATGGACACTTGACATGCTTTGAGAGTATGTTCACAGATGAAGAACTTATCGCCCCAACAGAACCATTGAGCTGCACATGCGACACGCAATAGCGCCATACACGTGGGAGGGTTCATTGTCAAATTTGACACTTCAAGAAAGCGTTGATGAAAACTGCCGCGTGCTAGTTTATCCTATCGATGTTTGCTTTCCTATCGGTTCTTGCATAAGATTTACTGTTTATCGTATCTTTGCTTTAGTGTGTTAAGTTTAATTTGCAATAAAGGCGTCTTCAACAGGATGAACGTCTACGTGATTATGGCATGCCTTAAATGGGTTCTACACAGCGAACAGTAACCAACATGCTTAATGTGTCACAGTCTGTTATCAGCAGACTGTAGAACCGGTACCAACAAACGCACAATGTTGATGATAGACCTCGTTCAGGTCGTCATGGAGCCACTACACAAGCCCAGGATCGATACATTCGTAGACCCAGGTCCTGCGAAAACGAGGACAAACGGTCAATCAGCTTTCTGTAAACTTGTACCAAGTTACAGGAATTCGAGTTACACCCCAAACGATTAGAAGTCGGCTACATGCAGCCCATTTGCATGCGCGACGACCGCGTGTTGTGTCTCCATTAACTCGCCAGCACATGGCAAACAGGCGTCAATGGTGTAGGCAGCGTAGAAATTGGGGTAATCGTCGATGGGCGCGTATAATGTTCTCAGATGAGTCCATATTTACTCTGGATTTCACCGATAGGCGTGCTCGCGTTTGGAGGCGTGTAAATGAGCGTCATGCTAACGTTAACGTCAGACAGCATGACAGATTCAGGCGTGGGTCAGTTATGGTGTGGGGAGGAATCACCATGACTAGCAGAACGGACTTGCATATTGTTCAAGGAAGGGTCACTGGTGTGTATTATCGTGACCGCATCCTGGCACCGATAGTTCTGCCCTTTGCTCAAGATGATAATGCCCGTGCCCACCGCGCTCGTGTCGTGAATGACTACCTCCAGCGTCACAATATTGTCCCTATGCCTTGGCCAGCCATGAGTCCATGATCCTTCCCCTTTCCCGGGAGACGTGTTCATCGACGCCAACGTCAACCGACAACACTGCAAGAATTGGCCGTGGCACTGCAAGAGGATTGGACGGTTGATTAAGAGCATGTCACGACAAATTGCTGAATATCTGAGGATTGGTGGAGCAATTACTCATTATTAAGTCAAAAATAAAAAAACGTCCATTTTCACTTTTGACCGTCTATCTCCTTGCGAGTGAAATGGGGCCGTCAGATAAGCCGCCCATATGAACTGTTTATGTTCATGTGTTATAAATATAACAGTTTCAATAAGGATAGATTATTCGACACACATTTAAGGAGACTGAATAGAGTAATACATCGATATATTTCTACGCGTTTTAAACTATCGTGTATGCGAACATACATCTGAAAGAAAGGCAAGTGTTAGTAAATACTTACTAGAATATACCACAGTTATGTTTGGGGCTGTAATAACATGACCCTTTGTTTGTGGTAGTCGTTTACAGCAACAGCGTGCAATAATAACTATCACCACTATGATAGATATAACACACGCCACTACACCTACTGCTATTCCTATGGCGATATTGACCAAACGACTAAAACACAAGTATTTTAATTTTATATTATTCAATGTGATAAAGTAATTGAACTTGTGTATCTGAAGTAAAGTAATATAACTTGTGTATCTGAAGTGGAGTAATTGAACTTGTGTATCTGACGTCAAGTAATATAAATTGTGTATCTAACGTCAAGTAACATAGCTTGTGTATCTGAACTAAAGTAATATATCTTGTGTATCTGACGTCAAGTAATGTAACCTGTGTATCTAACGTCAAGTAATATAGCTTGTGTATCTGAAGTCAAGTAATGTAACTTGTGTATCTGAAGTCAAGTAATATAACGTGTGTATCTGAGTAAAGTAATATAGCATAGCCTGTGTATCTAACGTCAAGTAATATAAGCTGTGTATCTGACGTCAAGTAATATAACTTGTGTATTTGAAGTCAAGTAATATAGTTTGTGCAAATGAGATAAAGTAATATAACTTGTGTATCTGAAGTAAAGTAGAAAAACTTGTGTATCTGAAGTAAAGTAATTGTGTAATACAACTTGTGTATCTGAAGTCAGGTAATACAACTTGTACTTGTATATCTATAAATAAATTCTACCAATACAAGGGCGGTTGACGTTATTTTATTAAAAACATATTTATTAGTTTTCCGAGAAAAATCGATGAATTATTAACGCCCACTCGACACAGACTATGCCATTTTGGGACAAACATATGATTCAATTTTATTTCAATAACACCCTTACGCATAGGGCTTTGTAGTCGTTGAAGCATACTGGAGGACCGGGAGAAAAACAACGAAGTTGGACAAGCGACCACTATCCTTGTCACTTACAGACCGGGAATGGAAACAACGCCACTCAACCCAATGACAGACCTGGTGATTTATAGCGCACGCGTTAAACCACCGGATCATCGCCCCCGCCCCCCCCCCCCGAACCCAACTCATTATGGCATAATACTAAAACAATTCAACATTTCTTTTTTGCACAAAGACAGAAACAAAGATGCATCTTTTTTTTTATTTTAACCCCTTAAACATACCATCCATATACTGTTTTGGGTAAAAAGGCACTTTCAATATGTTCACAGCTGAAGATATAATATCTTTAACGGCTAGAAATAGATTGACCTTCTATGGGAGTAGACTAAAACTGCACTAATGTTTGAAGGGAGATAACAAAAATAATAGCTACTTTACCTTGGCTTGACATTCTACTTATATTACAAAATAAGAAAAAAAACTATAAACCTATAAAAAGAACACATTCCTACAAATGATGTTACCTGTTTTCGTCCTCATAGTCGTAGGAGTAGCAACATACGTTGTAAATGGTGGCGTTAGTTCCGGTAGTACAACATCCATCAGAACAATTCTTGGTGAATTGGTTCAAACTAATACTCTTATCATAATAGTTACAGTTCTTGGTTGTGACAACTTGAAATTAAACAAACAAATATTTGTGAACACGCTATGAATCAGATTTGAATATTTAGGACCATAATCCACCACGTCCCTCAAGTTTGTTTCTAGGATTTTATACTCTAACCCCTAACCCACCCCTTCACCCCCTCCCCCTTGTTTTCACTAAATAGCATAATATGTCTTGAGTTGAATTCTTCTTGGTACAATAATTGCTGTTGTGTGGACAGAAAAATTCAACCATATTATCTCATTTTCAGCTTATTTTGTAGAATGCATTATTTATCCACCATCAAAAACCCACAGACTTTATATTCTCTTTAGCTAAACTATGAGAATAGCCTTATGAATATAATTAGCAGGTATCACTTTTCTTAAAACAAAAATTTAAAATTACCAAGAAATGGCTTCTAGTATATTTATAGCAATTGGCTATCGTCTGCCTTTTACATTTCATCAAAATTACATTTAATCGATCATGTAAATGGGCTTTTCTCTCTTTATTAAAAAAAAATGCGTCTGAACTAGGGCGTCCCAGCCCAAAACCAGAATATGAGAGGGAGCACCGGTCCACTTTCAGATACACGCCTTCGCCCCTGATGTGTGCGATATCACACAATGTTGACAATCGAGAAACAAACTTTATCAATGACTAAATCTATTTGTTAAGACCAGACCAGACGGATTATTAAGTTTGTGTCTTATTGCGAACAAGTATAAAATGAATTGAATTTTTATAAATTATAAAATATTGTAAATATTATAATGTATACCTAATAATAAATAATGTATTAGATCACAAGATCTGTCCATGAGTCCAGTTGCCTTCCAACCCCGTGGGGTTTTTTCCGGTTCCTCTGGTCCCCCCCCCCCCACTGTTAAAGACCACTACCTGCAAACGAATTATTGAAATAAAATTGAACCATAAGTTAGTCTCTCCTCTCTCTCTCTCTCTCTCTCTCCCTACCCTCACATACGCACATAGGCCCTCGTAGCACACTGCATGACGTATTCTCGAGAGAGAGAGAGAGAGAGAGAGAGAAAGAGAGAGAGAGAGAGATCCTGGTTAACCTCCACTCAACACATACTTGTTCATTTCGGGACTAACATATGGTTCAATGGGAGAAAACCGGAGGTCCCGGAGAAACCCTACTCCTTGACGACCCTACTCCTTGCCACGTGCACCCGGGAATCAGAAATTGTAAAGATAGGTTGTCAGGCAACGAAACATACGCACACAGCAGTTAAGACCTCCGACCAGTTCATAAAAGTTGTCACGTTGTATATTTTAATTGTTGATAGTCGGGCTTTTTTTGCAAGAGACAAACAAACTTAAGAAATATTTTTTATTTTATAATAAACATTAAGTAGATCAACAAGTTGGTGTTCATCCAAAATGAGTGAGTTTTGGATTAATTGGATTATTTTCTTGAATATCCAGATGAAACGAAATTCAGATTCAGGCATGTGGGGTTGGTGTCTATGTACAGTTAATATAATAAACAGTTCCCTGTCTATATACAATTAATATAAAAAACCATTATATATCTATATATAGTTAATATAATAAACCATCATCTGCCTTTATACAATTAATTTAACAAACAAATCTCAAACAATTCTCCATATACAGTTCATACGATCAACGGTTTTCTGTCTATATACAGTTAATAATCACTCATTATCACTGAAGTTAATTAATTCATATTGACATTTGTTTGGAAGCCATGGTTATCTTGTCCGGGGGAGGTACCTGTTTCATAAGGCGGTGGTGGAGAAGAATATCCAGTTGCAGGAGATGTCGGGTTATTAGTTCCTTGTGAAGGATACGCAACTCCTGGATCAACAGTATCTGTAAAAGACAATTCCCACAATGAGATAATTAAACACACAGCCACTCATAGATATGAAGGTTCCAGTGTTGTGTACTGTCACAATCTTGTGTATAACCACATGACACGTGGGATGATATTGACTGTGATTAAGGCACTACTCTATATCACTTCGTTATAAATAAAACAGTTTCGTTAAGGATGGATTGTAAATTAATCACATTGTAAATTATTGCACCTTGTATACATAACATGTTATTGTCTGCGATATCACATCGGTGGAAGCGGACGTAAAATACAACCAACTAACAGCAACAAACATAAGGATGGATTATATTGATAGCTGGTGACACTCGACGCATACTTAAGGAAGCTGAATGGAGTAATACATCGATATATGTAAGCGAACATACATCTGAACGAAAGGTAAGTGTTAGTAAATACTTACTAGAATATACCACAGTTGTGTTTGGGACTGCAATAACATGACCCTGGGTTGGTGGTTGTCGTTTACAGCAACAACATGCAATAATAACTATAACCACTACGATAGATATAACACATGCCACTACACCTACTGCTATTCCTATGATGGTATTGATCAAATGACTGAAACACAAGTATTTTAATTTTACATTATTCAATATGAACTGAGATAAAGTAATTGAACTTGTGTATCTGAAGTAAAGTAATATAACTTGTGTATCTGAAGTAAAGTAATTGAACTTGTGTATCTGACGTCAAGTAATATAACTTGTGTAACTGAAGTCAAGTAATACAACTTGTCTATCTGAAGTCAGGTAATACAACTTGTACATGTATACATGTATCTATAAATAAATTCTACCAATACAAGGGCGGTTGATATTATTTTATTAAAACATACTTAGGTTTCCGAGATAAATCGATGAATTATTAACGCCCACTCGACACAAACCATGTCATCTCGGGACAAACATATGATTCGATTCCTCCCACTGCTAAAAACCCCTACGCGCAAGCGAATTCTGTAAATAAAAGTAAAACCATATGTTAGTCCCGAAATGACCTAGTTTGTGTCGAGTGGACGTTAAACCACATTTCTTTCTCTCTCTCTATGGCATTACATGTTATTAACCCCAATACTAAAACAATTCAACATTTCTTTTTCGCACAAACACAAAGACATTCTTTTTTTTTTTAATTTTTAACCCCATAAACATACCATCCATATAATATTTTGGGTAAGAAATGCAATTTCAATATGTTTACACTTAATGGTTAGATGTATAGAGGTTAAACTGAGAATATAATATCTTTAACAGCTGGAAATAGATTGAACTTCTATGGGAGGAGACTAAAACTGCACTAATGTTTAAAGGGAGATACCAAAATAATAGCTACTTTACCATGGCTTAACAATCTACTTATATCACAAAATAAGAAAATAAAACTATAAAAGGACACATTCCTATATACAAATGATGTTACCTGTTTTCGCCCCCGTTGTCGTAGGAATAGCAACATACGTTGTAAATGGTGGCGTCAGTTCCGGTGGTACAACATCCATCAGAACAATACTTAGAGGCTTGGATATATTTAAAACCATTTTCATAATAGTAACAGTACTCGGCTGTAACAATTTGAAATTAAACAAACAAAATATTTGTGAACACTCTACAGATCAGATATGAATGTTTAGGACCATAATCCACCACGTCCCTCAAGTTTGATTTTCTCACTACGTCTGTTTCTAGGATTTTACCCCCTAACCCCCAACCTACCCCTTCACCCCCTCCCCCTTTTTTCACTAAATAGCATAATATGTCTTGAATTGAATTCTTCTTGGTACAATAATTGCTGTGGTGTGGATAGATAAATTCAACCATATTATCTCATTTTCAGCTCATCGTAGAATGCATTATTTGTCCACTATCAAAAGCCCACAAGAATTTAGATTCTTTTAGCTAAACTATGAGAATAGCCTCGTGAAGAACATTTAGCAGGTATCACTTTTCTTAAAACAAAAATTCAAAACAATCAAGAAAATGCTTCTGGTATATTTATAGCAATTGGTAATCATCCGCCTTTTACATTTCTTCAAAATTATATTCAATCGATCATATAAATGGGGTTTTCTATCTTTAATTAAAAGGAAATGCGCCTGAACTAGGGCGTCCCACCCCAAAACAAAATAAGAGATCCGCCCCTTACCGGGTCAGTATGACTTTGCAATGGGTGACTTGCTCTCAAAAAATGAAGTATCACTATGACGTAATGTAATCAGATTTCCTCAAATCAAATCTATACTAAACATTTCTTTTATTTGTGCGCGTCAGGAAGGGTTTGGTGGTAAATATAATCTCCTACTCGTCTCGTTTCTATATGAATACATATCAACATTCGTCCATAAAGTACAGAATAAACTCGGTAAAGCCTCGTTTTTGTTTACTTATCGACTTGTGTTGATATTTCTTTGATATCAAATAAAGGCTCCTGTGAGAATATCTAAATATATGTAAAATCAGCCGTTTATATACTATGCAAGGTAGAAGGATGCATGCTAGTCTATAAATTGTCACACTTCCCAGCACACACTCCCTTAGTTGTTAATTAACAAGCACACACACATAACCGGCTGAGTAAAACAGTTGGCCAAGGAGCAACCTATACATTTATTATATACATGATAATCATTATATCCACCCCAACCCCCACCCTGCGTATCTCGGAAAGTACCCTTCAACGCCGGATCACCTCCCAGAAACAAAATCAACATAACAAATGGTCTGGTAAAACCTGGTCCTATAAATCCCCTTCTCACAAGCCACAGGGGGACTAATACATTGAATTAACATCTAACATTATGAATTACTTATATCATATATATCGAACTGAGTGTAAACATGAAACTTTACCTTGTATAATCGAACAAAAACAGGAGAACAGGTACAAAGATATATTCAACGCAGCAGCCATTACTAAATATCGATTACACAGGTTATAGTGAACTCCAATTTAAAAATTTTCAAAATGTCTACACCTTTGTATTAAATAAACCATACAGTAATCGGTCCAATGGTTTTTTTTATACTGAGCATACGTCATGCTGTTGAACAAACGCTATTTAGGTTAACATATAGAGGTTGATAACTATACAAATATTAATCTTTGAGAGGCATTTAGTAACTGGATAGAGCAATAAACTATAACACATGGAAAAACAGCTACCTGTTTATTTGGGCGACGTTTCTAAGAGTGTTCTCTCAACGTTCTCAAGCTAACGTTATCAAGGTCTGTCCATGAGTCAAGTGGCTTGGTTTCGATTCCCCGCTTGCACATGACAAGGAGTAGGGTCACCTGTCTAACCCCGTGAGTTTTTCCCGGTTTCCTCCCACGGCTAAAGACGCCTACGTGCAAGCGAATTATTGAATAAAATTAAACCATATGTTAGTAACGAAATGACCTAGTTTGTGACGAGTGAACGTTTAACCCCATTTCTGTTCTGCCCACCCACCTCTCTCTCTCCCCCTCTGTTCCTCCCTCTCTCTCTCACACATTCCCACGGTGAGAGGGACGCAATGACGAGCTTTGCGTCAAAGTTTTGAGTTTTTGCGCCCCTTGAATTTTTGCAACCATCGCAAATGGAAAAGAAATCACGCGGTTTCAATGCGATTTTCAACATTAAAATCATAATCATAATGCTCAACCAGTGTCAAACATAGACCGTGGGTCACATATACTACAGATAGACTCTAGCATATTCCACACAGCCCAATATTACCCGGTTGCACTGGGAGGGACTACATCACACCCACTTCCCCGCACACACATATAAGTATTATTTTTAAGGGGTCAGGGCGAGATCTTGTTCCTCATGCAAAATCATGGGTCACCACACGTCTGACCCCCCCCCCCTCCCTCTCTCTCTCCCGCTATCTTAGACACACAATGGTGTGCACGTACAAGAATCCTTGACGGCTGAAATTCGAAATAAGAGTAGGGCCTCGTAGCACACTGCATATACTCGTTTTCATCAGCCCAGTAGGCGAGAAGAGAGAGAGAGAGAGAGAGGGAGAGGGGCGTGTATCGTCCACTCAACACAAACTTATTGCGGTTCAATTTTTTCTTCAATAACTCGCTTGCGCGCAGAGGTCTTTAGCAGTGGGAGAAATCCGGAGGACCCGAAGAAAACCCACGAGGTTGGACAGGCGACCCTACTCATTGTCACGTGCATCAGGGAATCGAAACCACAGCAGTTGACTCAATGACAGACCTTATGATACAACGCACTTGCCATTCGGCCATCAAACCCCGCTAGCCCAATCAAAAGTCAGCTCTATGTTGTTTGTGCTTTTGCATCTCTAATGTGGCAAATTGTACCAAGTTAAATGTAAAAAAAACTCGTAATATTGACAAATAAAAAGTTTTTGGGGTTTTGTGCGAACAGAATTAACTCTCTTACACCAGGGCATCGCGTAAATTGACATTTTGACATTTCACAAATTGCATCTGTCTATGTATACATTTTGTGATATAAGTGATTCAATAAAACTCAATTTATTTAATATTTTCGCTTCACATTGCACTTTTGACATCTTCCTTTTGTCAAATTCATGATTCGATTCCTAAGTCAACATGCAAAAATATCGATAATTGTTTTATATTTGGTGCTTTTAATATCGACTTTATGACCTCAATCCAGTAATTTTAACACAATGCGGTGATACTTTTCCATCTTAATCAACTAATACATACTGTAAGTTCGGTTACGTGCAATCCTGTTCATTCTGATAGGCACATATAGAGAATCTCCTACCAGTCTTTTTTGATATCAAAAAATATCAACACAAGTTGATAAAGTAACAAAAAACGAGGCTCTGCCGAGTTTTTTTTTTACTTTATCAACGAGTGTTGATATTTTTTGATATCAAAAAAGACTGGTAGGAGATTTTATTTATCACCCAATCCCTTCTTACATGCACAAATAGATAAATATAATTCTTTGAAGTAGATTTCACTTTTACTGAACATTACGGCGTAGTGATAGATCATTTTTTGACAGCAATTCAACCATTGCTAAGTCATTTATATTGACCCAGTGTTTCCATCAAGGTCAATTGAATAACAATAGTTCACTTTAATAAAAAAAAGTTACTTTTAATAAGAAATGAACTGTTCTTTGAAAATAAAAAAAAGTAGTTCCTTTTCAACTGACCAATCAAATACATGTAAAGCGATATCTCCTAAGGAGACATGGCAGTAGAAGATGAAATATATCACACAAGCGATATCTACTGTAGAATGTATTATTGGGTGATAAATTAGTTTCAATGTTTTCATCTTATACACCACCAAAAATTCGAGATCTCACTAAAAATTCACGTTTTATTATCTTTCAACATCATTTCAACAATAGAGCATAACATCTGTCAATATATTTCAACAATAAGCATGATATCTTTCAACAATAAGCATAACATCTTTTTACATCTTTCAACAATATGAGTTAACGGGTGAATCAGTAAATGGGTGAGTGAGATTCGCTGCAAAATATAACAATTAAAAACAATTAAGTATTATAAATTCCAAGGATTTTCATGTGGACTAAGACTAGTAAATATTTCCCCTTATTTCATGATGGACGAATGTAGTGCGAGTTATAAATAGACAATTTTTCCCTTAATTTTTTTCTCCCCTCTTCCTGCATTTTTGGGTTGACTTTTTGGTCTAGAATTGGAGAAAAGGGATCAAATTTGCAATTTCATAGCAGTTTTGGGTAATACTGAGGATATTACAGCGGAGGGATAGGGGGTGTAAAGTGTCTTTCTGCAGAGCAATCATTGTGTCGGAAGTGAGATTTTCACCCCTGTCGTCTTCAAATCCGTGTAGCAAAAAATCTAAATGGTCAACCCCCTACAAAATTATGACGAGGAGATTGCCAAATGTTGTCCCCATTGTGCCTATAAAGATTGGAACCAACGGAATGTTGAGCAAAAAGCTACAGCCTGTGATGTTACAGTCATTTAACATTGAAGTCAATGGGCAAATAATTGCTAGTCTGAGTCCTGATGATATAAAGATGTTGATATTTTTTCAACGGCTTATTTCCTGAAGTTTTGAATGGAAAGTGTCAGAAATGGTAAGAATACTGCTTTTTTATTGCCCAGCAGTAAGTTTTTTGACTATTTGGTATCAAAATAGCCATGATTGGGGGTATCCGTTGGTTGAGTGTGAATTTTGGGTTGTAAAGGTGTAACATTTTGTTCACAATGATATCAAAACATGGTAAGGTCTAAATATTAAGGCCAACTCAACTGCAGATTTGGTCTAAAGTCACTAGATGTAAACAAGACTGACCCTAACCCTAACCCAAGACCCAGTCCTTACCCTAACCCACAATCTTGTCAAAAAGCATGTACCCTAGGCCTAAGCCAAGACCTAGTCCTGACCCTAGCCCAAACCCACAATTGTGTCAAAAAATCATGTGCCCTAACCCTATTTACATGTTGCGACCTTGAACCAAGTCTGCAGTTGGCCTTAACATTTAGACCTAACATGTTTTTGACATCATACAATGAAATGTTAACATGTACACTCCAAAATTCACACCTGTGTGACTTTTGACCAAACATGCACTTGGCCTTAATATTTAGACCAAACCTCAAAACATGGCATCTACCTTTGAGATTGGCTTAGACTTATGTGACACTCAAGGTTTACTTTTTTACTGCCTGTTAACTGGTTTCCTTTTTGGAGGGCCAGTGACAGGCTGTTCGCTAGAAATAAAGAGGTTTATTTCTATTTCCAGTTGAAACCATATTTTTTTCTTATTTTCTCACTGTTTTTTTATTGCATATTTATCCCCAGCCTCCTATCATTTCAGGTGCCAGGGTAATGTTTCATAGAGTGGAATGATTGACCTCAACACAAGTATTAAAAAAAAGAAGCAAAACAGGTCAGATAAATGTGCATTTCATACACTTTAAGAAGTACATCCAACCTGATCCAACACTCCTGCTCACTAATAGTAATGGGCTGGAAATTTGGTACTGCACAGGCCTGTCTTCTCCCCTTGACATTTAACTGAATGACAGAATTCCACATTTTGACCATTTTCTGGATGTCAATGACCGTTTCCCTGGATAGCATTCGCCCCAGAATTCTCATTCTCATCCAAATTTAACATTTCAGGTCTACATCTCAAAACCTGATGTCTTCCTGGACTGGCTTTAGGAGAACGATGATGCATATCAATTTCATCCCTGATCTCTATGACACCTGTGGTGGAAGTGGAGGGCAAATCGTAATCAGGTTGGGTTCCAGCCCCGAGGACCTCTGTAAACTTTGCTTTTTGGTGATGACTTAATTTCCGAGCTTAAAAAGGACGCCCGTGTGTTTATCATGGCCTCTCATATTGGAAGATAACATTAATGGCTTGTGTGTTGATCGACGGTTGTGCATATCTCTTGGTCAGGAAAGTTGTAGGCACCATCGCCATTGTAAATCATTTGACAGGCCCGAGTGAACAGGGCGACCTATGATTGGTCAGCAATGTATCGGATTCCATAATGGGGGGTGGGGATGAAAAAACTGTTGTAGTGTTACATAATCAGATTAATTCAAATTACTTATCCTGTGGAAATACAGCTATATAGGAGATATTTTGAAATTCATAGGCACTGCATGTTTCAACATTTTAGATTTGACCACAATTTGGCACTTGAAACTATGTTAACAGAGAAAAACTGTGTGGTTTTCGATGAAAGTGTTAAAAGTCTAATATTGCATCATGATTACTGTTTTAAAGTATTTTCGTGTTTGATTTATATTGAATTCATCTCATCTTTTTGAAGAATGCATTTATGTTCAAAAATAAAAATGTTCTGTGGAATTCAAAATTCATGTGCTTTTAAATTATCAGATTCCAAACTGGGGGGTGGGGATGAAAAAGCTGTTGTAGTGTTACATAATCAGATTATTTCAACTTACTTATCCTATGGAAATACAGCTATATAGGAGATATTTTAAAATTGATAGGCACTGCATGTTTCAACATTTTAGATTTGACCACAATTTGGCACTTGAAACTACGTTAACAGAGAAAAACTGTGTGGTTTTCGATGAAAGTGTTAAAAAGTCTAATATTGCATCATGATTACTGTTTTAAAGTATTTTCGTGTTTGATTTATATTGAATTTATCTCATCTTTTTACAGAATGCATTTATGTTCAAAAATAAAAATGTTCTGTTTAATTCAAAATTCATGTGCTTTTAAATTTCTGTCTGAAATTCCGCAGTTTTCTGATGTATTATAGTGTTTGCAGAATGCCGCACAGCTCATCTGAAAATGCATAGATTTTCATATTCTTTGGCCAGGGAATTGCATATATGTTTGTTTATTAGATAACAACAGATTTGTTTAAACTGCAGAAACATGTGAGGTATATAGGACTAAGACTAGTAATTATTTCCCCTTATTTCATGATGTAGTGCGAGTTATAAATAGACAATTTTTCCCTTAATTTTTTTCTCCCCTCTTCCTGCATTTTTGGGTTGACTTTTTGGTCTAGAATTGGAGAAAAGGGATCAAATTTGCAATTTCATAGCAGTTTTGGGTAATACTGATGATATTACAGCGGAGGGATAGGGGGTGTAAAGTGTCTTTCTGCAGAGCAATCATTGTGTCGGAAGTGAGATTTTCACCCCTGTCAACTTCAAATCCGTGTAGCAAAAAATCTAAATGGTCAACCCCCTACAAAATTATGATGAGGAGATTGCCAAATGTTGTCCCCATTGTGCCTATAAAGATTGGAACCAACGGAATGTTGAGCAAAAAGCTACAGTCTGTGATGTTACAGTCATTTAACATTGAAGTCAATGGGCAAATAATTGCTAGTCTGAGTCCATGTATTATTAATTGTAGTTATCTCCCTTGAAAACAATGTTTTGTCTGGCATTCCACAGCAAGGAGGACCTGCCAGGGTCAGAGGTTAAATAACTGAGATAAGCTGAACTTTCCAACAACTTGTTATTTTACAGTTTTTCTACAAAACTTTACCTTAATTCTAAACAAGAATGGTCTACATAATAAACAGTCAAAACTCTCACATTTAATTGGTGACTTTTCTGATTCATATTCATCTTTTTCCACAATTTTCAACAAGGCTTTCAACGGTGCTGGTGCCTTGATTTCCCCAAAATTCAACATGGCTGTGTTGCTAAGCAACATGACAGAGTTTCGGTTCTAGCCCACCAATACATTAATTACTACTTTTTTTGTTACATTGCTCAAAATAAAAAATAAAAAATAGTCATAATGCATAACGGTGACAACACATACTCCTCTGAATGGCATATTTAGTAATTGGAACATATAATCAAAAACACACTTTTATGGAATAACAATTACTATGATTTATTTCACTGCAACGTTTCAACAAAATTTCACAAGTCGTTATCAAGCATGTACACAAATCGATAAAATAAAATAAGAAAAATATGAATATATATATATACAAACATCAGTGCGAACTATCAAATGAAATGCAAGGAAGGTGAACAGGAGTAGCTATCACAAGCTATTGTCAAGAAAGTTACATCAGGGAATTCAAAGGATCACTAGATCTGTGAATGAATGAACATATGTCAAAAGCCCCCAATAACCAACGAGATTCGGAAATTACGGTAATTATTCAGTTATAGATTTATATGGCGCTACTGACACGGACTGGGGAAATTTAATTAATAACGAATCAATTAATACATCTTATGAACCGACAAGACTAGCTAAAACACAGATCCCTAAGAAATCAGTAACTATCAGACCCAAAAACCAACTTTGGATGAATAGTGCGATTCGAAAATTGATGAGAAAGAAAAATGAAATTCACAAAAAGGCAGTTAAAAAATTAAAATAAGAACAAGATTGGCGTAAATTCAGAACTATTAGACAATAATTATAAATCTAATCAGAAATTGTAAATATAGGTTGTCAGGCAACGAAACATACGCACACAGCAGTTAAGACCTCCGAGCAGTTCATAAAAGTTGTCGCGTTGTATATTTTAATTGTTGATAGTCGGGCTTTCGCAAGAGACAAACATAGGAAAGATTTTTTTTATTTTATAATAAACATCATCGAGATCTTGTTGATCTAAAGTGAGTTAGGGTTTGGTGGAAAAACAGAGCGAACTGAGTTTTTGGTTAATTGGTGTTATATACTTTGATTATTTACTTGAATATCCAGATGAAACGAAATTCAGATTGGAATGTGTGGTGTTGGTGTCTATATACAGTTAAAATATTAAATCATCATCTGTCTATATACAGTTAATATAACAAACAGTTCTCTATCTATATACAGTTAATATACACAGTTAATATTATATACCATTCTCTTTCTATATACAGTTAATATAATAAACAGTTCTCTATATACAGTTAATATAATAAACAGTTCGCTGTCTATATACAGTTAATATAATAAACAGTTCTCAAACAATTCTCTATATACAGTTAACACGATAAACAGTTGTCTATATACAGTTGTAACATGGACGGGAAATCTTCCTTTGTTCTTTTCGTTGAAATAAGCAGATTATTTTCCCCTCTTCTAGATTGGGTGGAGCTTAACCGTGCAATAACTAGACATGTTCAATGTGTTATTGCACACTTTTGCTGGTTTACACTAGTTTTAGTAGAAATCATATAGAAAAGTGGGGTGGGTTTTATTTGCAATAACAACAAGCATAGCCTGTTGACTATGACGGGCGGATGCGGTCACAATGGGCCATTTATATGACTTACTATTCCATTTATATGACTTACTAATTCCATTTATAAAGCTTTATAATTAATTACTTACTTAGGCACGTGTGGACGCTGAAACCCATTGAAATGGGTGACTGAATTGAATATTATTTTCATAGTTTGATAAATAATTATGAAACTACGTAATTATTTATCAAGTCTTATAAATCCATTTATATAACTTAGAAAATAATCGGCAATCGCTGAAACCCATTGAAATGGGTGACTGAATTGAATATTATTTTCATAGTTTGATAAATAATTATGAAACTACGTAATTATTTATCAAGTCTTATAAATCCATTCATATAACTTAGAAAATAATCGGCAATCTCCGTACTCCTTCGTTGAGTCGGCCAATTGGCCAATCAAATCCCTCGTTACATATAGCGGTGTTTTACCTTTCATGGCGGCTATTGTAAACATAAAATGACGAGAATAAGTTTTATGCATGTTTTAGTTATCCTAGCGTCAATTTACATTGCTAAGGTCACCGCTCCCCCTCCACCCACCGACCGGGGTAGTTCTTTTCACAATTTCTTGCGAGTTTGCCGAAATATCGTGTCGGATGCACTGACATGACATGACGGATACACGTCGGACAAATCCTTCATCATCATCATTCATCATCATCATCATCATCATCAATACAATTTGTTTCCATATTTACCCCCCTCACAAAAAATGGGGGTGCTGAACTTCGGGGGGAGGGGGGTCATACCCCTCACCATCATCACTACCACCATTGGCACCATGATCGGACTGTGTTTCCATGTCCGCAGGTTCTAGTCAATCTAGAGATGCGTACGTAGTTTTTTGCGACAAAATTGCCGTCGGCTTCGTCATCAAAATCTCCGTAATCCGAATCATGAGGCCCTATCAGCCACAATTTCTTGAAAGACTTCCTCTAACGTCATTCGGTTAGCCATTTTGACGTAAATTCGTATAATAATATCCGTTTTTGATTGCAATTTGTAGTTTTGTTTTTATTTTGATCGCTTAGCTATAAATAGCGAAAATGTAAACAGGAAGTAGGAGAAGATAACTGTGTTTTTTTATAATTTTCGGACTTGGAGCATTAGGCGAAAAAATGAAGGTTTCGTATGAGAGGGTGTACAACGTGCCGTGCGGCACGCGTGGGCCACGAGGGAAGTTTTCTGAACGTGCCGTGCGGCACGCGTGGGCCCAAGCCCTTGAAGACAACATACCCTCATCCTGACCATGGTCATCTTCTGCAGGAAGATTAGTCCGTCCGAATTCCATTAAAGGAAAAAATGTACGAATAAAATGATGTAGGCCCTATGACACCGACGCACACAACTCGAAAACCGCGGACGGGAGTGTGATTGGCTGGCCGAAGCAACCTCGGGAATTTCCGGGCAGATGTACGAACTTTCCCGAATATTTAGTTCGTTAGATAATTCATTTATAAGACTTAGAAAATAGATTTATATAGCTACCATATTATTTACAAGACTTTATAAATCATTTATCAAGCTATGAAAATAATATTCAATTCAGTCACACGCTTCGAGGGGTTTCAGCGTTCGCACGTGCCTAAGTAAGTAATTAATTATAAAGCTTTATAAATGGAATTAGTAAGTCATATAAATGGAATTAGTAAGTCATATAAATGGCCCATTGTGACCGCATCCGCCCGTCATAGTTGACAGGTGTCAACGTTACAAGTCATTTATAGCACGCTTCATTCGTTAATAGGTTTAAAACCTCGGCCTACGGGCTCTGGTTAAACCTGTTAACCCATGAAAGCCGTGCTATAAATTATACAGTTAATATAATGAACAGTTAATACCAACTCTTAATCACAAAAGTTAACTAATTCATATTGACATGCGTTTGGAAGCCCTTGTTATCTTGTCCGGGGGAGGTAACTGCATCATAAGACGGTGGTGGATCGGAATATCCAGTTGGAGGCAATGCTGAATTGTTAGTTCCTTGTGGGGGATAAACAGCTCCTGGATGAACCGTACTTGTACTATCTGTAAAATACAATTCCCAAGATAAAATAATTAATCACACAGCTTCAGTTTTGGTCAAAATGATATTTTGACCTTTTTGAATAGCATAAACATGCGCCCTTCTACTGTGTAAATGCTGTTAGTCCAGATTAATTAGAGTATCATGTTATTGCCATGAAAACATATAGCACATGTCCCCATTCAGCAAAAGTTTAGTATGCAAAAGAGATATTTGTGGACATGTAACTTTTGTCTACTGAACGCTCATAACACTAAACAGGAACCAGTGGACATATCGCCTACAAAACACGTTGTCAGGGGTCTAAACATTAAAGTTTGTGTAAATGTATTTTTAAAATGGGTCATTACATGACAGAATTCCCAATATATAACATATATATAGTATGCCATGTTCGGATAATTCCTTGATTTGAAAAAGGAATTCAAAAGTTTAAAATGCGATTTTCTCGAAACAAGATAAATGGACATGTAGCATATGCATACTCAGCCATCGATATGTGTATAAACCAATGATTGTTTTCCAAATAAATTGTGTTGTGATTGTTAATATGCTCAATCGCTAAATGCAACCCAATGATTATATGCTGTGTACCCAGTTTGAATAAGGACAGATTATACTGATATCTGATCACACTCTACGCAAATTAGAGGATTGGGTTCTATCGAAACGGGGAAATACGGAGAATGAATCGAGCAATTTACCGAGATATTATAACGTGTTGTAAACTATCGTGTAAGCGAAATGAAATGAAATGGGGTTTAACGTCCTACTGTTCTGCTACTAAACTGGGCTAATGAAGACGGGCATACGCCATACAGTGTGCTATGAGGGAAATTTTGCCCGGGCAGCGGCGCTACGGCCTACTCTTATATCGAATTCCAACTGCCAAGGGATCTTTTACGTGCACGCCAATATGTACACATGACCTCGGTTTTTCGTCCCATCCGAACGACTAGACAGCTGTCCTTGTCAGACCCTCCGTCCTGCATCACTGACAAGGGGAAACCACGCCGGAAAATCTGGATGAACTTTCTCGGCAAATGCAGGGATCGAACACCCGACCTCCAGGTTAGCGAGCCAGCGTCTTACCCACTTAGCCACGTGATCCCCTATCGTGTAAGCGGATATAGAACTGAAAGAAGGGCAAGTGTTAGTAAATACTTACTAGAATATACCACTGTTGAGTTCGGGGCTGCAATAATATGTCCCTGTGTTGCTGGTTGTCGTTTACAACAACAGCATGCTATAATAACTATCACCACTATGATGGATATAACACACGCCACTACACCTACTATGATTCCTATGATGGTATTGGTAAGGTTCCTGAAAATAAATTATTTTAATTTTACAATATTCAATATAATGAACCGAGATAAAGTCTATGTAAAGTCAAATAATATAATTTGTGTATGTAAAATAATTATAACTTGTGTATCTGAAGTAAAGTGATATGATATAATTTGTGTATGGCGCACGCGTTAACCCATTCAGACCCATCACAGTCCGGTAAGAAATGTATAAATTCTGGCAAGTTCATTATGTTTTCGGGGGGTTGAATGGTCAGCGCGTGCGTGCTGTATCATAACGTCTGTCATTGAATCAACTACCGGGGTTTCGATTTCCCGGTTGTATGTGACAAAGAGTAGGGTCGCCTGTCCAACCTCGTGAGTTTCCTCCCACTACTACAGACCCCTATGCGCAAGCGAATTATTGAAATAAAATTGAACCATGTGTTAGTCCCGAAATGACCTAGTTTGTGTCGAGTGGACGTTAAACCCCACCATCTCTCTCATTCTCTCTCATTATGTTTTCACTTGCTTGTTAGGTTATTAGGTGTTTAGATATTTATACGACTGGTGTACAGGTGTGTCGCGAAGGACATGATTAACAGCTGGAAATATATTGATATGCTATGGAAGTAGAATAATAATGCACGTATGTATAAAGGGAGATAACTAATAATTACTTTACTTTGGCTGAGCCTTCTACTGACATATAAATTATACAAGAAACCATAAATGATCCAAAAAGACACATTCCTGCAACAAATCATGTTACCTGTTGTAGTCCCCACTCCTGAATTCATCGTATTCGCAGCATACGTTGTTATCGTTGGCGTCAATACCGTTGTTACAACAACCATAAGGGCAATACTTTCTGGATAACGTCTTTCTAAAACTATTATCATAATAGGAACAGTACTCGCCCGAAGAAGCTTGAAATTAAACAAATAAAATACTGTTGAACATTCTACGGATCAGGGTTTTATCTAGATATTTCAACATATAATAAGTCAGAATATGTGCAATGTGCCACAGACAGCTGATGTGCTCAAATCGGGGTTAATGCGAACTTACAAAGAATAATAAGTTGAATGTTTAGGGTCCGAATTCCCCCCCCCCCCCCCTCGGTCCTCCAAGGGGTGTCAATCGAGTTAGATTTCCTTGCCACATCTGTTTTCGGATTTCATCCCCATAAACAGCACAATATATCTTGAACTGAATTTTTCTTTGAACAATTCCTGTGGTGTGGACAAATAAATTCAACCATATTAACTCATTTTCAGCTTATTGTAGAATGCATTATTTATCACTACCAAAAGCCCACACGACTTTAGCTAAACTATGCGAATATTCTTATGAACATATTTCTTACAACAAAATCTCAGAATTATCAAGAAAATGCTTCTGTTACATTTCTTCAAAATTATATTTAATCGGTCTTGTAAATGGGGGGGGGGGGGCTATATTTATTTAAAACGCAATGCGTTCGAAGTATGGCGCCCCCCCCCCCCCTAAACAAATTAAGAGATCCGCCGCAATGCCCCCACAGTGTGCACTTCAAGATACACCCCTTCGCCCCGGATAGTGCTAAATGATAAGGCCAGCTCAATTTTTCGTCATAGGTCACGAGATGTAAACAGGGCTAGCGATAATTCCAACCCTAACCCTGGCAAAAATGCTAACCCTAACCCACAACCTCGCCAACAATCACGTGCCCTAACCTTATTTACATCTCAACGACGTTGACAAAAATTTAGCTAGCCTTAACAAATAGAGTTAGCTCCTTCGCCTCATTCTGCACATAGTCACAGCGATCAATCTACGTCATAATCCGCGATTAAATCTCCGCCCTGAATGGCCGCCATATCTACAAATTAGTATATTGCATCTGGCATACACACAAAGACCCCAAAAACCTATTCAATTCCATTAAATGGATGCACCATAAATAATTCTTAAAATTCCCGAAGTATGCTCAGTGTTTTCGACTAAAATCGTCTATTTAGGATTAAAATGTCTGTTCTCAAGCGGAGCTAAATGTAGCCAGATAGCCTAAATTTAGTATGAATGTCGCATGAAATGAAATGAAATGGGGTTTAAAGTCCTACTGTTCTGCTCCTATATTGGGCTAATGAAGACGCATATACGCCAAACAGTGTACTATGAGGGAATTTGGCCCGGGCAGCGGCACTATGGCCTACTCTTATATGGAATTTCAACTGCCAAGGGATCTTTTACGTGCACTCCAATGTGTACACGTGACCTCGGTTTTCCTTCCCACCCGAACGACTAGACCACTGACAAGGGGAAACCACGCCGGAAAATCTGGATGAACTTTTTCGGCCAATGCAGGGATCGAACACCCGACCTCCAGGCTAGCGAGCCAGCGTCTTACCCACTTAGCCACCGTGGCCCCCATATGAATGTCGCGCCTGATGTGTACGATATGGCACTACGTTAACAATCAAGATGACAAACTATACATGTAAAATCAGACATTTATGTAATATAATATGTAATGTAGAACGATACACATCAGTTTATAAGTACATTGTCCCACTTCTCAGCAATTTAGCCCCCATCCCCACATACACACAGAGATATAACCAGCTTAGCAAAATAGTTGGCAAGGGACAACCTATACACTGTCAGATGATCATCATTTATAACAATATTTGTTAAAACACATTTCTACCTAATTTTAGACATTACACCATCCACACGCAACCCCCATTCCGCGTATCTCGGAATAGCACCCTTTAACGTTCGATCACCTCCCAGACACGAAATGCAGGTGAAAACTGGTCCAGTAAAATCTGGTCCTATAAAACCTACTCTCACGAGTCACTGGGCTAATGCCTTCATTTAACATCTAACATTATGAATTACTTATATCATATATATCGAACTGAGTGTAAACATGAAACTTTACCTTGTATAATCGAACAAAAACAGGAGAACAGGTACAGCGTTATATTGAACGTCGTGGCCATTATTAAATATCGATTACACAGGTTATAGTTAACCAGGTAAAACTAGAATTAAATAAAACGAATATAGTCTTCAAGAAAATCACAAAATGGCGCACCTTTGTATTAAATAAAACATACAATAAACGGTTCAGTGGTTTTTACTGAGCATACGTCACGTTGTTGAAAAATTCCTATGTAGGTTAATATAGCGAGTTATATTACTATATACATATTGATCACGTGATCTCATTCTATTCAGTTATATTTCATTCCCTATGCAATGACTGACTAAGCATGACGTATTTTGCAATATATAGCTATGAATGTATAGTAAACTAACGTTACATAAGAAATCAAATGAAATGGGGGTTAACGTCCTACTGTTCTCCTCCTACTGGGCGTACGATATGCAATGCACTATGGCTTACTCTTATTTCGAATTCCGACTATCAAGGGTTCTTTTACGTGCATGCCAATGTGTACACGGGAACTCGGATTTCCTTCCCATCCGAACGATTGTACGCAATCACTTCCCAGGCCCTCCATCCTACACCACTGGCAATGGGGAAACACGCCGGAAAATCCCGATGAACTTCTCGGCCACAACAGGGATCGAATCCGGGACATCTGGGTTAGCAAAGCCAACGTTCCACTCACTAAGCCACCATGATAATAATAATAATTATTTGCACTGAAGGCCTTAGGCCTATGGCACATTTATACATTTACAGACAAATTGCATACATGAGTGACATCATTTCAAGTCTACATTTTGTGCTAATGCAGTTCGTATAACAGAACATTAGCATATCTATATGTAGGTAATCAGATCTTATTTAAAACGTTAACATTTCGGCTATGTAATGACTAGCCTTTTTTTATATAAAAATTGCTATGTAGTAAAGATATCAGGTGTTATTCAATAACAAGCTCAGGTTTTCCCAGAGTGTGTATTTGTATAGATGACATGGTGAATAATTTACTCTTAAGTCTTTTCACATTGGACACACACACACACATGAAGTGAAGCTCATCTTCAGTAGCCATACGATTACAAAGCTTACATTGTCTTGCCGACCTAGTAACGCCTGCCCTTCTACCTAGTCCAATCTCTAGACGGTGCCCTGAGTATCTGAAAGATGCTATAAATTTACTCTCAACTGGATAGGCAGATACGTTACATAACTTTCTAAGACTGGATCAGAGAGAGAGAGAAATGGGGTTTAACGTCCACTCGACACAGACTAGGTCATCTCGGGACTAACATATGGTTTAATTTTATTTCAATAATTCGCTTGCGCGTAGGGGTCTTTAGCAGTGGGGGGAAACTGGGGGACCCGGAGAAAACCCAGGAGGTTGGACAGGCAACCCTACTCTTTGTCACGTACAACCCAAGAATCGAAACCAAGCCAGTTGACTCAATGACAGACCTTATGATACAACGCGCACGAGCTAACCATTCGGCCATCCCCCAAAGACTAGATCACTTTTAATGTTAGTATAAAAGTTGTACTTGTGAGAACTGTTTATATTAAAGTTCCAATCTTGTAGGTTCATGTCCTTAAATTTAACTTCATACTCATAGTAAATAGTTTAATATTGCCGACTCACTGGTTTTCCCATACAACTCCATATCCACAACTATATAGAGTACTCTTAATATCGGTACACCACGTGGTTCTCCCAATTACATCAAGATTGTATAACATTTTAAAACAGTATTTAGGCAGCCTATTGTCTGGCATGCTTATTAGCTTTAAGAAATATTTAATAGGATTCATCATATACAGTATACATAACTCGTATTGCCCACAGTCTCCCCTGACCAGACAATTTGGGGTTCTTATTCCTACGCCCAGAACCCATTTGCAAAACCTGTTGTGGATCATTTCAATATCATTATTAACTTTCGTGCCCTGTAGAGAGAGAGAGAGAAATGGGGTTTAACGTGCACTCGACACAAACTAGGTCATTTCGGGACTAACATATGGTTCAATTTTATTTCAATAATTCGCTTGCGCATAGGGGTCTGTAGTAGTGGGAGGAAACCGGAGGACCCGGAGAAAACCCACGAGGTTGGACAGGCGATCCTACTCCTTGCCACGTACAACCGGGGATTCGAAACCACGCCAGTTGACTCAATGACAGACTTTATGGTACAGCGCGTACGTGCTAACCATTCAGCCATCCACCCCACCCACCGGCAACAATAATGTGCCCAAACCCTGTTGACATCTCTTGTGGGATATGTATATCTCGTTCAACAAGTCCCTTAATTACAAATGGAGATCGAAAGCATTATTGCACGCGATTTGTGTGCCAATTTTAAAATTTTCATGTTGTCTTAAATGTTAGATATCAGAAGCGCATCTTTTCACGGTAAGATAACAACACCGGCCAACGAGTCGAAGACTGTAGATAATACTGATCTGAGTAACTTAGAAGAAGTGTATCAGAAAACTATTTTAATAAATTGATCGGGTGTTCTTTCTGTTTCCGGGGGGGGGGGGCAGAAATCGGATCTTTCAATTTTTTTAGATGACAGGAAAAAAACATATGGTTGTCAGCACCGGGTTCCAATTCAATCTGTTTTATTCCAATTAGATCGAGACTTTTGACATTCAGACATTCGACAATTGCTGGTTGATAAAATTTTCCATATAGCCCATTTCATGTCATTTCTTTACGATCAATAAAACGAAACGATGTATAAATAATATTATGTAAGGACAGCCTTACACAAATAATTGCCACACCGCAGTCCTTATAAAACACAATATGAACTTGTCATTAAATAACAAACACTGAAAAACCGATGTGAATTTCATTTATTATAATATATTTAAAATGATATTGTAAAGCAAGAATTCTATGATGCCTGGAATATTTGCGAATTGCCGATTGTGGATCAACATGAGTCAAGAAATTTAAGCGACATGACTCAGGTGAACGTTTGAAACTTGTCCTTGTTAAACCTGATGCACCAAGACATAGTTTCGGAGCATTTATTTTCTTCTTTTACAATATTATAATATCAGCGGAAATGGTGTTGGTCTTCTAGACTGTAGTGTATACTATAGGTTTGTCGACTTGAAGTAAGTTGAAAATCACATCTGTTTTTGCTTTTTAAAGGGTCTGGAATTTTTGGTTTGCTTATCTTTTCCCACCCCCACCACCTAGAATACTGAAAGAGAAAAGATTAATGTTTAGCATGTCGTAGACTCGAGTAAGAGATTCTTTTTTTACGCGCAATACAACAAACAAACTTTTGGCCGCACAGCTAGGTTTTTGTCTACTTTTCTTTGAATTCCGACCACCAAGGTATCTTTTACGGGCACTTCCACCTCTGACAATTGAGAACATAGTTGAAAAAAACCCATGTCTTGTTCTCTTTCAACGCCCAAATTTGCACCCAGGGAATTCTGACCTTTACTTCAAGGACATAACTATTTTTAAAAGTCAAATGGAATATCAAGATTAGACACAAATAACACATCGTTCGAAGGCTCAATTATTTATCTTTATTCCCGAACTTTCTACCAAATGTAGATCACTCTTTTTAAATCAGATTTGCCATGACAAGAAGTAAACTTACTTTTCGACACAAATTGCACCAACAGCAGGATCAGCTATCATGCACGTTTCATTGTCCCCACAGACCTGACCGTTGCATTTACATTCACCTCCAGAACAAGTTAAAGGTTCACAACACTCTACATTTTTACACGGGTCTAAAATGTAAAACAAAAACCTAAATGCATTGGCTTAAAGCAAAGCGTCCCACCGATAATATTTCGATGTTGCAAATTTTCCACCAATGCGCTATGGGGGAAATTTATCGTGACGGCGGCACTACCGCCTACTCTTATATCGAATTCCAACTGTCAAGGGATATTATGTAATGCATGCTAACATGTACACAGGACCTCGGGTGGATCACGTGGCTAAGAGGGTAAGACGCTGGCACGCTAGCCTGGAGGTCGGGTGTTTGATCCCTGCATTGGCCGAGAAAGGTCATCCAGATTTTCCGGCGTGGTTCCCCCTTGTCAGTGATGCAGGACGGAGGGCCTGACAAGGACAGCTGTCTAGTCCTTCGGATGATACGAAAAACCGAGGTCCCGTATATACATTGGAATGCACGTAAATGATCCCTTGGCAGTTGGATTTCGATATAAGAGTAGGCGATAGTGCCGCTGCCCGGGCAAAATTTCCCTCATAGCACACTGTATGGCGTATGCCCGTCTTCATTAGCCCAGCATAGGAGCAGAGCAGTAGGACGTTAAACCCTATTTCATTTCATTTCGTTCAATCCGATCGTCTATTGAAACCGACGTGCAAGCAGCAAGCTAAACTTAGACAAACCAACAAACATTCAAGTCTAATTCTTTCGCAATTTTATGACCATAGTATTTACAGGTATTGATGTACTTTTTCGACTGTCGATACCTGTCCCAAAGTGCAGGAGACAGTAGTCTAATTTTCAAGTCGCAAACCCCATGTTCCCCTCCCCTGTCCTCCACGCCTTTCTGCTTTGAGCCTTGGGGTCACAGTGGCTAAGTGGGTAAGACGCTGGCTCGCTAGCCTGGAGGTCGGGTTTCGAGGACAGCTGCATAGTCGTTCGATGGGACGAAAAACCGAGGTCCCGTGTACACATTGGCGTGCACGAAAAAAGTCCCTTGACAGTTCGAATTCGCTATAAGAGTAGGTCGTAGTGCCGCTGTCCGGGCAATATTCCCTCATAGCACACTGTATGGCGTATACCCGTATGCATGAGCCCAGTTCGGAGCAGAACAGTAGGAATAAAATAAAACCAAGTACGAACAATCCCAACCATAAGACAGAAATCGAAGTCCTAAAAACGTTATAGGCAAAATAGTGTATTCAAGCAAAATAGTGTAATCAGCAAATGGACTGCTCCTCGTGTACAAAATACACGACAAACAGTGGTAACAGGTGTCCGGAAGAGTAAGCTTACCCTGCCTGGCGCCACACCCGCCATAGCTGCATCCAAACTATTAGGCGAAATTTCGGTAAAATAGCGTGATTGGCCAATGAACTATCGGTATGCAAAATGCATTTAAACCCCATTTCATTTCATGTATTTCGCTTTGCGTCTTCAGAAACCACGCGCTTTTAGTTATTAGGATCAATATACAAAGTCTTACCACAGCATCTCTCACAAACACCTGCATTCTTTACCCTTTCACAGCTGACGTTTCTCAACGATGGTCTGTTATGTCTAGCACGACGTCTACGACGACTGCCATGTCTGGCTTCAGCAACAATCATAACTACAGCAACCAAGAGAAGAACGGTCAGCAAAAAACGCATGATGATAAATCTTTCAGATCAACGACTATACGGAGTACAGAAATCAAAAAGGTAAGTGATTAATTCAGAGATAGCTGTGTCTTTTATACAAATCAAAGGTAGACAGCTGCTAATATATTTTACAGAAATAGAAAAGTTACAAGTTGCTGAAATGTTAACATGTTGTTTAACGATTTTGATTAAAATCATCAACGTCATTCATCGATTTTTTAAAAAGATAGTTTGGGCTTGTCTTGCTTTGCTTTGGGGGTATTTTTCCTGTTGTGTACGTGGAGGTTTGGTGTCACTATTTGATTCGATAACCAGTCTCACGTGTTCATGTGAATTGAGTGAAACCACATCAGTTACGTATCTGTTTAGTTTCTGGTGTCCATATACAATCTATTTTATAACAGCGCTGAGAATTGATTAATCTCGTTTTAACCGCGAATAATACACTGGCTCGCTAAACTGGAGGTTCCGTGTTCGATCAGGATTTTCAGTTATGTTTCCACCATTGTCATTGGTGCAGGATAGGGTGCCTGGCAAGGCACAAATGTAATGGGGTTTAACGTCCTACTGTTCTGCACCGACTTGGCAATATCAAGACGATGGCAAGAGGCTGTGTTGTTGGATGGGACGAAAAATTGAGGTTCAGTGTACATATTTGTAAAAACCCATGACAGTTGGAAAATGTCTCATGCTGCACATAGTATGGCGTATATCCGTCTTCATTAGCCCAGTTGGAGCAGACCTAGAGGTCAGTCTATTTATGAAAAATAGGGGGTCAACCCCAAAAGGATGCAAGACAAGGTTTGTTGGTGGTTTCTGGCAGTATTTGGTATTCTCTGATTTAAGTTAAGAATATACTTAACTTTCAATCACTATGAGAAAAATCTTTGATCCAGAAACATAAACACTTATATTAAAACAACAAAAGTTTTATAAAGGGTTATATTTTAGTTAAAATAAGGCCAACAATTTGGAGTAAATTTTTAAGTCTGAGAATGTTTTGTGAAAAACGGGCCAAGGTCTTTTAATACATCAGTCAATTTATGAAAAGGAGGAAGCCAACCCCCAAACAATTACAAGAAATGGTTTTTTGGTGGAGTTGGGTGGACTGAATGACATCCTAAAAGTTTAACCCTACACTAAAAAACAATACCTAAAAAGGTTTTGTCATTCTCTCATGGGGGGTTGGATGGCCGAATGGTTAGCACGAGCGCGCTGTATCGTAAGGTCTATCATTGAGTCAACTGGCGAGGTTTCGATTCCCCGGTTGAAAGTGACAAGGAGTAGGGTCGCCTGTCCAACCTCGTGGGTTTTCTCCGGGTCCTCCGGTTTCCTCCCACTGCTAAAGACCCCTACGCGCAAGCGAATTATTGAAATAAAATTAAACCATATGTTAGTCCCGAAATGACCTAGTTTGTGTCGAGTGGACGTTAAACCCCATGTGTGTCTCTCTCTCTCCCTCTCTCATTCTCTCATTTGTAGATACACCCAGTGATGTTAACTGGTTCCTTACACCATTTGCAGGTGTAAGTACCCCTATCCTACAACCTGAGACCGAAAACCTAAACTTACGAATAGGCATAACTCTGCAAGACTTCGTCATAATATAGTAAATTGCGAGGTCCGTTTACCATTTTCGGGATACTGCATCGCGGTACTGGCATATTTGGTATGTACATGTTCTGGAGGGATACCCCTAACCACATAATCTACCATCATGGAAAATGGGTACAGCAAGACAAGCAAATAAGGAATCATTTGCTATTGGCTCTACATATGCAGAGGAGTGCTGTAATCTAAATGATTTCTAAGACATGTGTGTTTGATTTTCATTAAATGATGGGTAAGTTGTATTTTACGTCCGCTTCCACCGAGGTGATATCGCAGACTTCATTAAATGAGCAGCTTTTGCTAAAATAGTACGGTTGCTGGATTAAACATGTAGTTTATTGAAACTATAGGAAACGCAATGAAATGAAATGGGGTTTAAACGTCCTACTGTTCTACTCCGAACTGAGCTCATGAAGACGGGCATACGCCATACAGTGTGCTATGAGGGAAATTTTGCCCGGACAGCGGCACTACGGCCTACTCTTATATCTAATTCCAACTGTCGAGGGATCTTTTACGTGCACGCCAATGTGTACACGGGACCTCGGTATTTCGTCCCATCCGAACGACTAGACAGCTGTCCTTGTCAGGCCCTCCGTCCTGCATCAAAGACAATACATGTGGTTGCTACTTTATGTGATGAATTGCGGTTTGGCTGGAGTTGAAATGTACAAGCATTTGAAGATGCTTATGTCGACATGGTAACGGTAGCCCCTGAAGCGGTAGATTTGCATTCCGTGACATTGATTAGGGAGGACACGTACCGTCAGGTACAAAATGCAAACATCCGTGCAAAAGTACTTTATTTTCTTTACTACCAACAGAGCAAAAATTTTGTGTATGATATAGTTTGTCTCAAGAGACTCCTGGTATCTAGATAGAGAATCTCCTACAAGTCTTTTTTGATATCAAAAAATATCAACACGATAAAGTAACAAAAAACGAGGCTCTGTTGAGGTTTTTCTTTTTTACTTTATCAACGAGTGTTGATATTTTTTGGTATCAAAAAAGACGAGTAGGAGATTTTATTTATCGCCCAATCCATTCTTACGTGCACAAATAAATAAATATAATTTTTTGCTATAGACTTCACTTTTACTGAACCTGATTACATTACGGCGTAGTGATACATCATTTCTTGAGAGCAATTCAACCATTGCAAAGTCCTTTATATTGAGCCAGTGTTTCCATCAATATCAATTAAATGAAAATAATTCATTTTTAATTTTAAAAAAAGGAATTACTTTTAATAAAAATTGAACTGTTTTTTGAAAATACAAAAAAGTAGTTCCTTTTTAACTGACCAATCAAATTCATGTAAAGCGATATAGATTATGAAATTTATTACACAAGCGATATCTACTGTAGAATGTATTATTGGGTGATAAAATATGTTACCAAGTCTTGTTTCTTCGCGTGTTCACTGGATGTGATAACACTTCTAGGATCAATGGTATTGATAAAACATTGTTGCTCCAATGCCTTATTAAAAGATAATCTGTAATAATAACAGTATGTGCAATATAGACAGGGTCCGTGAGAGTCGGGGCAGCTTGGACACTTGTCCAGGTGCCCGTAGCCTAGGGGCACACATGTGCCGAGTAATGTTTTAATGTTGGTATAAATTAATAACAATATAGTTGATCGTAAAGTAGAAGAAAACCGATGATTTTTCTGAATGTAGATACCTAGGGGCATGGGTAGGATTAGAATTAGATTCTGTCAGTCCACTGTTATTCTCTTACCAATAATATCTTACGAGGTCATGAAATTTTGAAACTACAGAAATGAAATAAATTAGGGTTTAACGTCCTACTGTTCTGCTCCGACTGGGCTAATGAAAACGAGCTATGGGGGAAAATTGCCCGGACAGCGGCGTTACGGTCTACTCTTACATCGATCTTTTACTTGCACGCCAATGTGTACACGGGACCTCTGTTTCTTTGTCCCATCCAAACGGCGATTGCACCACTGACAAGGGGACACCAAGCCGGAAAAATTCCGATGAATTTTTTCGGCCAACACCGGGAGCGAACCCGTGATCTCCAGGCTAGAGAACCAACTTCTTACTCACTTAGCCACCGTGGCCCCGAATATGGGACGGGAAGACATTTTGAATAAGTAAAGATGAAAGACATACATTAAATGCAATTCCGAAATGATGATTAGTCGCATTAGGAGGTAGTTATGTAGAATCTGTCTATACATATTTTCTCTAAAAAGTTACCAGAATGCTGGGTTGGATTAGTAGCATGTAGAGGTTTGGTAATGCCTTGGACTAATTCCTTGATTGTATGCCAACAAGACTCAGCTATATGACCTATAGTAATCAGCTAAGAAATGTGAGAAAGGAAGATATTTTAAATATCAGATGAAATAAACTTTGTATTTATACTAAAGATACATTATGGGAGATCAGATAAAGAGCTGGAGGTTCTCACTCATAATTACTCAAGTCGATAGGATAAAAAATCATAGTCTCGATTATCCATTTCATGATTTAATTATGAATGGAAGTCGAACAGCAAATTGGAACCTAATCCAATAAACAGCGCAGCCTAGCGATGCCATCGAGCGATGATTATGGTCTGGATTAGTTAATTAATGTCTACTTAATAATTTAGATAACATTTCAGGAATAAAGAAAGACCTGCAATATAGGCAGATTTAGATCTTGCATTATGTATATTGTACAACAAAATTAAAGATGGGTCCCCGCGTACAAACTGGGTGATTTAATGGTATATACGGACTAAAAACATATTCAAACTAATTAATTTGTCATAATTTTGCTTCAAATCCTTCTCAAACATTGTAATTGCGAAGGGATGTCCTGCTATAAAAATTCGATCAAACCAGGTCATGTTTACGTAACGGGGCTTACCTCTCTTAGAAATCAGAGGAGAATTCATTGCATACATAAGACGATGTTGTCTTTAATCGCTTACTATTTATTACAAATATCGAATCCTAATTAAATTCTCGGATTATCCACTACCCGCGTCTTTTTTATCTCAGAAAGTGTTGAACGTCTAACTCTACATAAAGTTTATCAACTTGTACATCAAGCGCTCAATGTTCGCGTGTGACCTGTGACATCACGCGTGCAGAAATTCCTAATCATCGGGCTGTTGATTAGGGGAGGGAACCCTTACATTTTTGTCCTGTATATGCTCCATGAGTGTTTTTCGGGGAATCCAGTATTTTTCTAGTAAGATTGGATATCTCTACTTTCCATACTTTTCTGGGAACCTATCTTTAAAATGTAATTTCAATATTTGATTGGACGCCCAACCCTGAAATTGGTGTCCAGGACCATCTACCTCTCTACACGCCACTGCCTGCTACTGTGCGGAATGGGGTAGAACCAGAAAGCAGGTTAGTTCCAGCGATTTGGTATCTAAAAGGAAGAAAACTAACCTGGACAGGGCCTTTAATCGTTGCATCAGCTTATTGATTGTT